ATCATGCAACACTTGAGCTAGTCTTAGAGGCCAGACTAGGAATACATTTTACCGTTTATTATTCCACACGTGCATATGAGTCTTCCTCTGAGCCTCGTGGTTATTGCAGACTCGAGAACCATAGCAGTTATAGCATAGAACATAAACATAATTATGAACTCGGAGATAAATAATATCATTTATTATTGCCTCTAGGGCATATCTCCTACAACTTGATGATATTAAACATCCTAATTATTTTGGTGAAGGAAAATGGAAGCTCACCAAAGGCTCCCTGATTATGGCTCAAGGAAGTAGGAAAGGTAATCTCTATGTGACTAAAACCAAGCTGTGCAATGAGGTGTTGAACATTGCTGAAAAAGAGACTTCGGTTGAATTGTGGCACAAGAAGCTTGGGATATGAGTGAGAAGGGTGTGCATGCTCTTGCTCGCATGGATTACCTCCCTGAGTTGAAAGGGATATCCTTGAAACCCTATGCACATTGTTTTGCTGGCAAACAACGTAGGGTTGCATTTTGTACACTCCCTCCACATCGTGCATAAAGTGTTCTTGATATTTTGCACACTGATGTTTGCTCCATCACTGAAAAATCCCATGGTGGAGCATTATGCTTTGTGAGTTTTATTGATGACCATTTCAGAAAGGTTTTTGTGTATGTGCTAAAACACAAAGACCAGATGCTTGAAGCCTTCAAAAAGTTCCATGCCCAAGTTGAGAGAGAAACTGGCAGGAAATTGAAGTGTGTGAGATAAGAAAATGATGGTGAATATCGAGGTCCTTTTGAAAGGTATTGTAGGAAGTTTGGCATCGAGCTTGAGAAGTGTCCAAGAAAGACACCTCGGCTCAATGTTCTTGCAGAGAGAATGAAAGGACACTCACAGAGAGGGTCATAGTTATGCTTTCTCATGCTCATTTACCTAATTCTTTTTGGGCTGAAGCATTGATGAGTGCTATGTATGTGGTTAACCTATCTCCCTCAGTTCCTCTTGCGGGTGATATTTCTCAAGGAGTTTGGTCGGGGAAGGAGGTATCATACAAGCATTTGAAGGTCTTTGGTTGCAGGGCATTTGTACATGTTCCAATGGACGAGAGATCCAAGCTTGATAGCAAGACAAAGTAGCGCATCTACCTCAACCAACCAAAGTGAAGAGTTCGGCTACAGGTTGTGGGATCCAGCCAATAGGAAGATTGTGCGGAGCTGAGATGTGGTGTTCATTGAAGATGAAACAATAAAAGATATTGGGAAACCAGAGAAACCAATGACCTACACACCTCAGATTGACATGGACCTGATCCTTCCTTCTCTCGTGCTTGACAATCATGGAGGAGATGATGACACTGGGACAGTGAAGGTGCAACTGATCAAGGAAGTACAAGTCAAAGTGATGAGCAGCCATGAAGTGATGATAATGATGAAGTTGGTAATGATGATGCCAATGAAAATCCACATGATTCACCACCAATGCAATTAAAAAGGAGAAGTGAAAGAGATCACATTCCTTCTAAGTATCCGACACATCAATATGTGTTGATGACTGATGTAGGTGAGCCCTCATGCTATGAGGAGGTAATGTCTGGTGAGAACAAGAATGAATGGTCAAAAGCCATGCAGGATGAGATGAATTCCCTGTATGAGAATGATACTTTTGAGTTGGTGAATCTGCCAAAGGGCAAGAAAGCACTCAAGAACAAGTGGGTGTACAGAGTGAAGACCGAAGAAAATACCTCACATCCAAGGTACAGGGCCAGATTGATTGTGAAAGGTTTCAGTCAGAAAAAGGGTATCTATTATGATGAGATATTCTCTCCGGTGGTCAAGATGTCTTCGATCCGAGTTGTGCTTGGCATGGTTGTCACCATGGACTTGAAAAATGAACAACTTGATGAGAAGACTACATTCTTGCATGATGAACTAGAGGATGAGATATACATGGAGCAGCCAGAGGGGTTCATGGTTGCAGACAAGGAGCACTTAGTTTGCAAGAAGAACTCGTATGGCCTGAAACAAACTCCTCGGAAGTGATATAAGAAGTTTGAGTCTTTTAGGACTGGGCTTGGTTACCATAAAGCACAATCAGATTTACTTGTGTCCTCAAGCGAGTGAGTTTGAAATCCGACCATTGGAAACATGTCGGTTCGCCATTGGCTGGACCGTAGACCCTTATTGGTCATTTACCCTTGGGATTACTCTGGCTATAAATAGCCACCCGCACCAACCGAGATGGCTGGCTGCTTACTTTTCATGCAAATCTGTATGTGAAGATGTGTTATATATTTGCATTTTTTGTACTTAAGATTGTATGTTTGTATGTTCGTCTGATTTACATCTGGTGCTACTTAATTATGCAGCTAAGTCTTGCTCTCATGAACATCTCTCGATAGTGTGCGTGTTTTTTATCTGAGTTTCGGCAATTATCTTTCTTAGGGTCATATTCTACCTATCTTGACATGTTTTCTTTTACCTGTATTTGTCTATCATGGTCTAGCATTAACTTAGTTTCATTTTGATTGTAGTTTTCTTTTGTAGCCCCGCATATGTTGAGATTTATTTCCATTGTGTTGTACTGAGAGATATGTTTCGAAATAAATTTCAAATCTCCCATTCACCTCCTCTGTGGTCGATATACTCCGATCATACAAGCATTGACTGGGATAATATGTGTTTGTTTGTAATTTGCATGTCCTAGTAGTTAAGTTGGCATGTCATAGTTTAAGTTTGCATCAGAAATTCGCTTTGGCACATGGGAGCGCGCGCTCCTGCCACCGAAAAAAGAAAATTCAAAGTGTGAAAAGTTTTCAAACAAAAATTTAGTGCATACATCTCGACATTATATGTGTGCACGTCAAGTTTCGGAGAAAACCGACATTTTTTGTGGCTTGTGTAAAAGGACAAAAAGATGTCTTGTGAAAAGCACTTTTTAACACCGGATTTTGTCTTTTTCATTCGCAACACATAACTTGTTGATTTTTCGCGAAACAACTTTGTGAGCACGTACAATATCGAGATGCACACGCCAAATTTTTGTTTGGAATTTTTTGACATTTCAAAATACGTTTAAAACACATTTTAAAAACCTGAAGCGCGTGCTCCCGTGTGCCAAAACGCTACTCTCTGCATATACTACTTTAAGTTTGTAGTTGAACTATGTCACATGTATGAACTTTGAATGTGGTCCAAGTAGTTATGAAGTATTAAATATGATCGAGGTGTTCAAATGCTCGCTTAAAAAGAAAATTTATTTTGCTGATTTGGGTGCCCTATTTTAGGACAATTGTTGGAGGCGGCACTTTGTCATGCCCCAAAAAATAATTAATGCCCCATTCTTTTTTTAAACACCCCCTTTCTGTGCCTTGAAATAGGGCATCTATTGGAGATGCTCTAATGTTATTTTTTTGTTTTACTTTTAAATTTCTAAATGAATTAATAATCCAAAGTCATTGTGTTCATCTGGATGAATTAACTCGGGATAATATCCCATGTCCCAAAGAGTTGTAGCTCAAACGGTTCACCGGTTTTCTCATGAGCCCTTATCTCGAGATATAGTTCCTCTCCCCGGCCATCCATGATTTAAGGCGACTCACATTTTCCTGTTGCAACATATGGCCAATTTTTGCTAGTTTGTGCATAAGTATAGAATTTTTCCAACTGATAAGTGTCACATATGTAGCACGAAGCTGCTTTCGGTCCTGACGTTTTTTACAATTAAAGTTATCATCCAAAAAGAAAAAACAAACAAAAAAACCTGAGACTTGCCATCCGAAAAGAAGTTGTCCTACTTACAACTAAAGTTATCATCCTCGTGTCACTGAACTTACCATAGAAAACATTTAAAATTGTCATATGTTTGTGCAACACGTGTAACATTTATCAGGTCCTAGAAATTTCTAAAAGTAGAAAGATATTATACCAAAACGAACACCGACCGACATGTATGTATATAAAGTAACAAAAGGGAAACATCCATGGAGTCGGTGGCGATTTCCTTGTGTGACGATCTCCTCCTCCTATTCCGCTCCCTATATATAAACAGTAGTGCTACACAAACGACACCCATGCACGACTGCTGCACGATTCTACACATCCAACCATCAAAATATTGAATGAAGTCCAGCACGGCCATTTGATCATCAATCGTCCATGAATCGTCCATTTCGCATCGGCTGTGAAGTAGTTTCGATATACAAATGCCCAATCTATAGGGCTACACCACGATCGACTTCCACCATCTAGTGCGTCGTAACAAAACCGACGATCTGATCTCATGGCGACCCCAGGCCAGCGGTGCGCCGCCTGCTACAACACCATGACGTGTCAGGATGGCGCCTTCACGGCGGAGTGCGCCCATGTCTTCCACCCTCGCTGCGCCTCCGGCGCCCCCGCGTGCCCCTCCTGCTACGCGACGTGGCGCGCGACGCCCACCTTCACGCCGCTCCCGCTCTCCTACTCCCCCCTGCAGCCGCAGCCCGGCCGGATGCCGCTGCCCTTCCACGGCACCCGGTCGCGGTCCACGTGCGCCATCTGCAAGGGCGCCGTCGCCGGCGCCACCTTCACCTCTGAGTGCGAGCACACGTTCCACCTCTCGTGCGTCATGGGGAGCGTGTGCCCGGTCTGCAACACGCGCTGGCCTTACCAGGTTTCTTCGTACCCCACCTTCCACCACTACGCTCCGCCGCCGGGGCCGGCGCTGTTCCCTCCCTTCATGCACCAGCCATCGCCCATGTATCTCCCTGACCGCGCCGTGTACGACGACGACGAGCCGGTGGAGCCTCCGGCGCAGGGGGCGCCGCTGGACGACTGGGATCTCGTCCACGACGCGGCCAACGGCGGAGGCAAGCTCGTCCTCGATGCCCACTGCGAGCACCCGGCCGTCGCCAGAGGCAAGCCGCACGAAAACTTCGTGGTGCTGGTCCATGCCAAGGCCCCTGTGCCGTCACCGCAGCGGCGGCGCAGACACGCGCGCCGCTCGACCTCGTCACCGTGCTCGACGTCATCGGCAGCATGGCGGGACACAAGATCGCGCTGCTGAAGAAGGCTATGGAGTTCATCGTCGACCAGCTCGGCCCTGCTGACCGCCTCAGCGTCGTGGCATTCTCGACGGCCGCGCATCGGGTCATCCCGCTGACGCGCATGTCGGACGCCGGGAAGGTCAAGGCCAAGGACGCTGTGCAGTTACTCGAGGCTGAAGGTGGAACGAACATCCTCAAGGGCCTCACCGAGGCTGCCAAAGTGCTCGACGGCCGCCGGCACAAGAACGCCGTAGTCAGCGTCATCCTTCTCTCGGACGGCCAGGACACGTACAATCTCGATCTTGGAGGTTACGGTTACGGCTCATATCAGACAAATAACTACCGTAGTCTCGTGCCAAGCTCCTTGCTAAGCGGTGCCGGCCACCGATCGACGCCGATACACACCTTCGGCTTCGGCGTCGACCACGACTCGTCAGCCATGCACACGATCGCCGAGGAGACCGGCGGCACGTTCTCCTTCATCGAGGACGAGAAGGTGGTGCAAGACTCGTTCGCGCAGTGCATCGGCGGGCTCCTCTCCGTGGTCGTGCAGGAGGCGCTGATCAGCGTCAAGTGCGTGAACCCGGTGCGCGTCCGTGCAGTCAAGTCCGGCCGCTACGACGCCAGCATCGACGCGTACGGGCGCTCCGCCTCGGTGGACGTCGGCGAGCTCTACGCGGATGAGGAAAGGCGCTTTCTGCTCCTGGTGGACGTGCCGAGGGCCGGCGACGCGGACGACGTGACGCGGCTCGTGAAGGTGACATGCACCTACCGCGACACGGCGACCGGGCAGGTGCTGGACGTGGCCGGCGAGGACATAGCGGTGCAGAGGCCGGTGGAGCTGGCCAAGGACCAGCAGCCGTCCATGGACGTGGCGCGGGAGAAATTCCGCGTGGAGGCGACGGAGGACATCGCGGCGGCGCGCGCGGCCGCGGAGCGCGGCGAGTACGCGGAGGCCGCGAGGATACTGGAGCGCAGGCGGGAGGCGCTGGCGGACGACGCAAGGTGCAAGGCGCTGGTGGAGGAGCTGCGGGAGCTGAGCACCCGCGTGGCGAGCCGGCGGGAGTACGAGCAGTCGGGGTGCGCGTGCATCCTGACCGGCTACAGCTCCCACGCGCAGCAGCGCGCCGCGTCGGCCTTCGTGGCCGGTGCCGAGGGGTACGGCTGTCGCCAGCCGGGCGGGGCGGCTCCGGGCGCGGCGCCGTCGATTCTAGGTTTTGGCGCGGCCGGGGCGTATGCGACGCCGGCGATGCAGAGGATGGTTGGCGCGTCGAGGCAAATACGTGAGCAGCAGCAGCAGCAGCCGGCGACGTCCAAGAGGAAGAGCGGAAGCAATGGCGGTGCATACTAAAATCAGTGGATCCAAGTTTCGCCACTCAGTCTTCGACCTTCAGTATAGACTTATGTTCGGTGCACTTTTACTTACGTCTCATATTTATCGGATAGAAATATTTCGGTAGTCCAGTTATTGAGAACATAAATTGCAGACTTACAGTACTATATCGTCGAGTTATATTGTAGTTGAACTCGTATAATTTCGTGTAATGCGTGGCGTTAATATGTTGCACTTCTTTTTAGGGGAATATATATTTTGCAGTTAAGTACTATTGCTGGATATGCCTATTTTGGACTAGCTAAAACGATTTTCATAGAGTTTTGTAATTGTTTTTGTCTCTGGAATTGCACTCTCCATTCTTTTGTAATCGTTTTTGACCGAGAATGCAGAGGTCGGGGAATACCCTCCTTTCAAAAAAACTGAAAATTTAACTTACCGATGCAAGATCACCATTACCATTATCAATGAGCATGCTCTTCGGCCGTCGAGGACAAAGCACGTCTGTTCTTCACCTGCCCTCGTTTTGCGCCCATCTTTCACTCCGATCAGCGCTCTTCGGACATCTCCAATGGGCAATAGGCTGCCCGTCAACCCTTGCCTTTCATCCTCCTTCTAAGAGCTTTGCTACACCTGCAGGCAAAATCTAGAACTGTTATACATAAAAAACAGTAGAAAGCAGCAACCAACACTGATTAATATGTTAGTTCAAAAAAAAATGTATCTAGAGTTGTACTTCCTCCGAGGAGTACTAAATCAGCAACATTTATTTTGGGATGAAGGAAGTATAAATGATAAATATAGCATGAACACTTAAAAATTTATAGATATGTTGAAAATCTATCTGCCACCGAATCTTGATTGACTCGTCCCTGTTCGCACAACACGCAGGCGCACCCCCTTGCACCCAAACCAACCGCTCTATTCGCTGACTCGGGGATTCACCACATGCGTGAAGTCGAGCCTTGAAGCCACCCTAAATGTTCGAGTGAATAGCCCGGATACCGCATGGACATGAGAGAAAAAGCATCCAACACCCTCAAACTTAGCTCATATATGGATGGCCATATAGGTGTGTCTGGACGGGAGCTCCTATTTAGCGACCTATGTGGTGGAAATCAAACAATCGTGCACCCCCCGCCAGCGTGCTACACCTAAGTGCGCCGGGCATTGCATGTACCTTCTTTTTTTCCTATTGTTCCTTCTCTTTTTAATAAAATTCATAGAATGTCCAAGAATTGAAAATGGTTAATAAATTTCAAATAATGTTAATTTTTTTTGAAAAATGGTCGCAGATTCAAAAAATCGTGACTTCCTAAAATGTTCATGATTTCAAAATTGTTCGTGATTTAAAAAACGTTCACAAATTCAAAAAAAACATCGAGTCTAAAAAAATGTCCACGAATTTAAACAAAATGAGTTAAAAAATGTTCACAACTTTCAAAAAACATTTGTGAATTCAAATAATGTGCACTAATTTCAAAAACAAATCCTGAGATTGTAAAATGTTCACTAATTTCAAAACAATGTTTACGGATTTAAAAATTCTTCATAAATTTCATTAAAAAATTGTCTCATTGAAAAATATTCACGACTTTCAAAAAATATTTATGATTTTTAAAAAAGTGTTCACAATTTTTTTCAAAAAAATCTAAATTCGAAAAAAATTCACAATATTTAATATTTTTTCACGGTTTCAAAACAGTACATGAATTCAAAAATTGTTTCATGATTTTAGTTAGTGATTTTTAAAAAGGAATAACCAGGGAAGAAAAATGAAAAATACAAAAGGGGAAAAGGAAAAACATAAAACATAAAAATTCCCCAAAAAGACTTGTTCGGGGACCAAAATCGGTGAGAAAAACCCGGAATGGGCCGGCCCATACAGAGGACAAGGCACACGGGGGGTAAGCGTTTGGTCGCCATTCCCTGTCATATGCGGGAAATAGGATTGTCTGGATAGGCATAGGCACGTCCACCATGTCGGCCCAGCCCATCTTGACCCACATGTCAACCACTCCCTTATCTACTTCAAAGGAAAAATGCCCGACCACATCGTCTCCCTTTACCTGTTGTTGACCATGTCCCACCCGCCCTACCCTTGTCCCCAACCTCGTCAGCCCGTTGTCGACTTGCCGCCTCCCGCCCACGCTGCTCTTGGCTGCCGCCTCCTTGGCCGAAAACGCCGCGTGGGAGGTCACCTCGGAGGGCCTCGTGTCTACCATCAGAGGTCACACCCGTGGCCGGTGTGAAATGGCGGACGAGGCCCAGGTTTTGTGTGTGTGCGTGTGGCCATGGATTGGCTGGAGATACTATTGTCTCTCTAACCATCCAACCACAGGTTGGTTCACCACGCCTAACCCTTCTAGCAGCAATAATAATTCTCATTTAGATGGTGACTGCAGGAAACAAGAAGAAAAATACTCGGTTGCAGTTAGACTAAATCTTCAAGAATGCATGAGCCGGCATATCATCTTTTTTTCGAGAGTACGCAAATTGCGTACCATAGCTTTATAGAAGAAGAGAATTGCAATACAAGACGACTACTGCTCGCTGCGAACAATGAGTGTAGCATGAACTCCACACCAGAGCTAGTCCGAAGACAACCACCAATGACAACACGACTACAAAGCAAAAGAGCTTTCCCAAAACCAAAAAAAACCTCGCTGCGTCTCGGGCGCCATCGGCCACCTTCGAAGAACAGCATCTTCACCGAGCATGCCTTGTCGACGCACCATCCCCCTTTTATGCCTAAAAGGAGGTGGCAAGAGCATGGCAGGACTCGATCCGCCCCGAGAAAGGCATCGTCTTGAATTCACATGCAATGGCCGTACATTGCCCCTCGGAAGATCAATCATGGACAACGGCGAACACCGGAGGAGTGCAACATGGGACCTCCAAATCATATCTCCGAGCACGATGCTCCCAACAGAGGAACGACGTCGATGACGCCGCCATCGTGCTGATCCTGCACCGAATCTAGGCTTTCGCCCGGAGACACCTGCCATCACCAAGCGAGTGAGGGAGATGACGACACTTCTCGGCGACGCCTCCGAGGAGGGGATAACACCCGCGGGCGCCATCACCACCGGCCAGGTAAGAACCGGGCATGATTTTCATCCGTATCACCGCCCATTTCCACCCCTCCAAGGCTTTGGGGCAGCACCGTCCATGAAGCCTCACACCGCCGCCACCGCAACACCTTGCCAAAGAAGCCGCACCGCCGTGGTCCACCAACACTTTGCACAGCAGAGAGAGCCCGACACAAACATCACCACCAGCGCAGACTAGGATAGCAGCAACAACCTCGCTTCACCTCGGGCACGGGCAAGACCACCGCGCCGGCTGTCACCCATTGCAGGGACAACCACGCGAGGGAACCAACCCCTCCCCCAGATCGAGCCAGACTCAGATCTGAGCCGCCCCATCTCACCAACTCCAGCGCCAACTCTGTCGGAAGAGCATTATCGCCCGTCCACGGACGCGGAGGTGGCCGGCCGGTCGCTGCCCGCCAGGATCTCCTTCCTGGTTGGGCCTCCTCAGCGCCACGGCCTCCATGGCTGTGGACACACGCCGCCGCCACCAGCTTTGCTCCGGCACACACCTGCATCGCCTCCCTGCTGCCTATCTCGTCGGGATCCGCCGCTCCACCGCGCCAGCGGGTTCGCCGAGCTCTTGCGCCGCCGGCCACACCACCACCACCGCAGCCCCGGAAATAGCCCGCCTCCGCGTGAAGATGGCCCGTCGAGGAGCACCGCGAGCACCCGCCAGCTTCGACGGCCGGGGGAGGGGGTTAGATCGAGGGCCTCTGGTTCTAGGGTTAGGGATCCTCCGGAGCTGCACGTGTGTGTGACCCGGGAGGAGAGTGAGCCGACATATCATCTTGAAATTGACGAAGTCGATACAGATGTCTTCGTTGACAGGAACGTTCCGTCCCGCTAAACACATATCGCCAAAACACCTAAAATAAATCTAGAAAAAATGCGAGCGCCGATGTTAAGTCTATGACTTAAACCTGTTGGGAATATCACTGTGCTCGTAACCATCCAACCAGTTTCTGATTCGCATTAAGATTGTTTAACTTGTCTGTTAGCCATGCTGAGCTTGTTTATCATTTTTGTGTCATCACGTGTCAGTTCTAGCCTCTATTTTCTTGCATTATTGTGAATTACATCTTTTCACGCGGATGATGCGTTGTATTTTGTGTTCTGCAAACATTTCCCGGCCCTGGACAATGCTTCGGTGCCTTAAGGCACCGAAGCTGCGTCCCCCGGCCCTGCTTCTTAGCTGAAAGTTGAGCCCTACATGACTACAAGTTACAACACCAGATTACAAGGGAAACCAAGAGAAGATATGATTATACTGATGTACTCCCTCCGATCCTTTTTAGTTTGCATATACGATTTGTCTAAAGTCAAATCTCGTAAACTTTGACCAAATTTATAAAAAAAAATACAAACATTTAGAATGTGAAATGAACAACATTAGATGCATCATGACTTTATTTTTCATATTGTATAAATTTAGCATTATAGATGTTAATATTTTTTTTATATAACTATGATCAAACTTTACGAAGTTTGACTTCAGACAATCCTTATATACACAGTAAAAAGGACTGGAGGGAGTAACAAGACGAGACACCGGAGCATAATAAAGTACACATGTGCGATGTGTCACACCAATTGTTCATGGTCACCACGCATCCCGTTGTCTCCACCGCCATGGCCGAAGAGGCGGCCGGCAGCAAACAATAGCAACTTCAGGACCACATGCTATAGTCGTCCGCCCCGTACATTATTGTACAGTGACCCGCAAACCACACCCCCCTCTCGCTCCTGCGTAGTATATGCAAGGGTTTTGCGGCTGAAATACGGGTCGAAACCATATCCGCCCGCCGCCGCAATTCCCAATCCCCCCTCTTGATTTCTCGCCGTCGGCTACTTCAATTCCCCCTCCCCTCTCTCGATGTGGCACGGAATGTGGTCGGCGGGTCGCGGTGCCAGCGGTGGCGGCGGCCCCAAGCGGAGGCGGACGTCACGGAGGCCGCCATCGTCGTGCGCTCTGCGCAAGAGGAGAAGGAGGCAGAGCAGCACCGTCCACGGGACGCCGACATCGACACAATCTTCCTCGAGCAGGGGATGGCAGCGGTGCAGGAGTTCACGACCAACATGGAAGAGTGGCGCCGCGTAGCCAAGAAGTAGGACGAGGTCTACGTTGACCTCGTCTCCGACGACGAGGACTGAGCTCCTCCGCCGCCGCAGGATCGCCGCCGCAATCCCCCCGGCTCCGGTGAGCCCAATTTTGTAATTAGGGTTACGGTGGCGCCTGCTACTATAAATATTAGTTGAAAAAAAATTCTACTTTGTATGACTTTTTAAGATGATCAAGTGCTAGTAGTTCTACTGAACTAGTTCAATTTCTCGCGCGAATGTGTGATTTCAAGTTTTGCGGGTTCATATTCGGTTCTTGTTCTATCACGGCTGTTTTCGGCCCCTATAAGAGTTCGCGATATAAAAGATCTGCTAGAGATGCTCTAAGGAGATGGATCCTTGCAGTATGAATTTAGGTGAACCGTTTGATGGATACTTGGAGAGCAGCCGAACAGATTACAATGAAGATGATCTGATGATTTGTGCTCGCTCTAGCTGTACGACAAGTAGAGTATCTGTACAACCACCAGATCAGGCTGATCAGCGGCCTTTTGGGTGATTGCTCGGCGTATGCATTTCTTGAATACGCCTAACACACGCATGCAGGAGTACGTATAATGCGCACACACGCCTAACACACCCGACGTAGTACGTCTTTTGACGAGCAATGGTACATCCCCTACTGAAGCTTACGTTAAGTTTTACTACGTAGATAACCAGGCGCCAACCTGTGATTGGGAAATTGGGACTAGGGGACTCGGGGCCCACACCCCTAGAAATCAGAAATCAGAGGTGGGTGGGGTGGGTGGGTGGATGTGTGTGTGGGGGGGTGGGGGGATAAAGTTAGATACGGCTTCGTAACTTGTTCGTACATATAGAATTACTGCTTTCTAGAGAGTACAATATGGACTTTGCTAGACGTACGGAGTTTTACGGTGATTTACAGGTTGCTTAACATTGATTGGCTGGCACATACGTACAGGTACATTCTACTGCCTCTCTTTCAGTTTACAGGACGTGTGCGTACCCCTAGATCGTCAATTTGACTAACCTAATATAAGTCATATATTACAAAAAATATACCAACATAAACTTTGAAGTTTCTATTTTCAAATGGTATACTTTTTATGTTATATAATTTATATTAGGATGATAAAATTGACAACCTAGATATATGCGTAGGACTTGTAAACTGAAACGAAGGTAGTACAGGTTTTTACATGTTGAGGACTGCGTGTTCTTCTAATTGGCCCTCTCTGATTTCCATCAATGGACCCGTGCGTCTTAATCAATTCTTGACCAATCAATGTTAAGCAACCTGTAAATCCCCCGTAAAACTCCGTACGTCTAGCAAAGTCCTAATATATAAACACGACGGGCACACTTGCCAGAAGACCGAGCCCAATCACAAAGTACTCATGCTCAAAAAAAAAAAACAATCACAAAGTACTCCAGCCCGTTTCCTTCTCACGTGTACGAGAACCAGCAAGCGTAGATACATACCATGGCGACGGGTGGAGCACCATTTGACGTGCTATCGTCACTGGACCCCGAGACCTTCGCCGGGGAGTCGCGCGCCGTGATCAACTTCCTCGCCGAGTACTACCGTGACGTCGAGACGTATCCGGTCCAGCCCCAGTCCTTGCCAGGGTGCCTCCGTGCGCTTCTACCCGACGCGCCGCCCGAGAACGGCGAGCCCATCGACGTGATACTGGAGGAGGTACGGTCTCACATCGTCCCGGCACTGACCCACTGGCAGAGCCCCAAGTTCTTCGGCTACTTCCCCATGAACGCCAGCACGGCCGGGTTCGCCGGCGAGATGCTCTCCACCGGGCTCAACGTTGTGCCATTCATGCGGGCCGCCTCGCCGGCCGCGACCGAGCTCGAGAGCGCCGTGGTGGACTGGATGGGCAAGCTGGTGGGCCTCCCGGACCGTCTCCTCTTCTCCGGCGGCTGCGGCGGCGTGCTGCACGGGAGCACCTGCGAGGCCGTGGTGTGCACGCTCGCGGCCGCGCGCGATCGCGCGCTGAGCAGGCTCGGCCACGAGGGCATCCTGAGGCTGGTGGTCTACGCCTCGGACCAGAGCCACTCCACGTTCCAGAAGGGCGCGAGGATCGTGGGGATCCCGCGGTCTAACTTCCGCGTCATCCGGACGTCGGCAGCGTCGGGCTACGGCCTCACCACGGACAGCGTCCGCGACGCGGTGGAGGCCGACGTGGCCAGCGGGCTCGTGCCGCTGTACCTGTGCGCCACGGTCGGCACGGTGCGGGACCTCGGGGAGCTGGCGCGGAGGCACGGCATGTGGCTGCACGTCGACGCCGCGTACGCCGGCAGCGCCCTGATCTGCCCCGAGTTCCAGCATCACATCGACGGCGCCGAGCTCGCGGACTCGGTGAGCATGAACCCGCACAAGTGGTTCCTCACCAACATGGAGTGCTGCTGCCTATGGGTGGCGAGCCCGGCCGCGCTCACCCTCCGCGCTGTCCACCAACCCAGAGTAGCTCAGCAACGTCACAGAAGAAAGTGCAGGCGCGGGCGTGGTGGACTACAAGGACTGGCAGATCGCGCTGTCGCGGCCGTCCCGCGCCATGAAGCTGTGGGTGGTCCTGCGCCGCTACGGCGGGGCGGGCATGCGGGCGTACGTACGGCGGCACGTCGAGATGGCCAGGTGGTTCGAGCAGGAGCTGAAGGCCGACGGGCGGTTCGAGGTGGTAGCGCCGACGAGGTTCTCCCTCGTGACCTTCCGCCTCCGTCCAGGGCACGACGGCGACGGTGATGGCTTGAACCGTAGGCTCCTCGTGGCGGTGAACGCTAGCGGGAGGGCGTTCATGACGCACTTCGTGGTGGACGGCAAGTTTGTTATCCGTATGGCTGTGGGCGGAGCCATGACGGAGATGCAGCACGTCCAAGACACGTGGGAGCTTGTCCGGGAGAAGGCCGAGGAGGTCGGCGCCCTCCCTTAGGACTCCGGGCATGACTAGGAACCGAACGTGCGCTGAGATAAATACTGAGAATATGGGATTCGGTAAGCATGAATTGCAACATATGCACAACCAAATAAAATCCATGTCCTTTCAAAAAAAAATCCATGTACTCACCCAGTCCCATAATATAAGAGCATTCTAGTGCATATGAAGCATCAAGAATGCAATAAAGATTATCTTTTGAGAAGTTTGAGGGAGTGTCTATTCCACATTTGACTGAAAAGGGGTTGAGCTTCATTCAAATTGCACAACTATAATAGGTTGGCAACTCCCAATTCATAGTATTTGACGCTTACAGGCTATACTGTACGTCTGTACGAACCGGCGAACACCACCCCACCTCCTCTGTCCTGGGCTCGGCCTATAAATTCTTTTTCAACTTTCAAAAAATAGGTGCGTGTGAAGACTTGAACCCTCAAACGAACCTCACAGTTTCAGTGCCGAATGCGACAACCAAAACGGAGATGCGGCATGTCCAAGACACGTTGGAGTTTGTCAGGGAGAAGGCCGAGGAAGTCGGCGCACTCCAAAACGAACGGGACGTGCGCTAAATAAAATACTGAGAACATGCAATTCATGAAGAACCCAATGAAGATTGTCACAGAGTATCCGGTGTAAATCTTTGCTCCTACATGACCATCATGAAAGATAGTATCAAATCTGGATCTCCTTTCTATTTATTCATTTCCACAAAAATACATTTTACTACCTCTAAGAAATGTGACTTTAGTTGCTTAGTAAATAGGAATTTCTTGATTAAATTAATTCAGGAAACGATCACGATCATGACATTAACAAAATTACTGACATACTAATTACAAACCAGACTAGCATGTACTACGCATATAATAGAAACATCTACGCACATAACTAGTACTGTTAAGACGGAAATTAATAGGAGAGGGATACACGTGTTTACTAATTCTTTCTAACACGTAGGTCTCATGTATCATTCACTAAAAGGAAAAAAAAAAACTAGCCGCTTTACCCTAGGCTAATGCAACCGCTAGCCTCGACCCAAAATCCCCTCCCCTTGTTTATGTGCATGATCTTGTTTAAATGCGTTGATTTTATTTTTTGAACTCGTGATTTTTTCTTTGATTTTGTTGATCTTATTATGTAGTCTCTTTTTTTGATCATTTCGAAGTAGGGGCTGCAGAAGTATCTTCAATAAAAGAAGAAAATGGTCCCCGTTGGTTTGTGTTGTAATTGAAAAAAAACAAGAAAGTACAGTTGTGAATGTTCGTCTAAAAAATTCACTTATAGACTACTCATCCATGAATGTAACTGGACACACACATACACACATGTACGCGTAGTATGTAGTATATAAGAATGTTTAGGTAGTATATACAGTATTTTTTAGGTAGTATGCATCATATTTTCAGTATGCTTCATTTTACATACAAATATATACGTATTTCACAAATATAATAAAAATCATGGATCAATTTGCAATTTTTTCATGTTACCTACTTTGGATTATCTTATATATAATATATGAACATACTTATAATGAAAAACTAGTATATAGAATATCATATAGTAGTATATGAGACATGTGGGGTAACTATCATCAGGTGGTAGGATGTATTCTTCACCCTTATCTACTTTACCATCAATGCATCGTAATTTTACGTTTCATAAGTTTTGTCTTATTTTCGATGTAAAAAGAGAGCATAAGAAAATATATAATCGCTGTAAAATATACATAAACTGCAAATTTTCTTGTCTTATGCCCTATATTTTTATTTTTATGTTAAATTTTACGTAGTGAATCAATAGGAATGTAACTATTCAAATTTCAAATATAATTTAATTATGAAGTGGTCGTAAGATTACCTCGGTTGAAGAATAACTTATTCTGCACCCTGGGTGATGAATATTATCACTATGTGTGTGTGTGTGTGTGTGTG